AAAGGGTTAATGGAATTTATAATGTTTCAACATTATGATTAAGTTATAAAAGGCTTACTTTTTATCTTTTTATTACTGTGGTGTCATACTGAATTTTTTTGTTCCCATCACCAAAATTAGTTAGGTAATTTCATAGATTTTGTTAATTTACTTTTTGTAAAATACTCTTTTTTTGGAAATTAAAAAATTGTTTCTTTGAAAGTAGCATGCTTGAATATTTTATCTTTTGTGTAATATTTTACCATTATTAACCACAGTGTTGGGCTTGGCATGGCCTTGAGGCTAGGGCTCTCATCTTGAAATCTGCAGGTCATTAGTTCAAATCCCGTCACAGGACATGCTCACCCTTTCAGCCATGGGGTTGTTATAATGTGGCTGTCAGTCCCACTATTCACTGGTAAAGAGTAGCCCAAGAATTTGTGGTGGGTGGGGTTGACTGACTGCCTTTTCTCCAATCTTATCACTTTTTAAAATTAGAGTTGGCTGGTGCAGATAACCCTCGAGTAGCTTTATGCAAAATTTAACAAGCAAATAAACAACAGTGTTAACTTTATTGAAAATTACTTCAGTAGTTATAAGTCCTTAAATCATCATACAGTCTCTCAGATGTTAGTATATTAAGGTGGGATTCTTTAAAGTAGCCTTAGATGAAACGTGAGGTTATTGTTGAAATTGTGATGAAAAGATAGTAAATTAATTTAAAAAACATACTTATCACCCATGCAGTGAGCTACATCAACACATTTGTGTTATTTGAGATTGTAAAACTTTCATATACATGTATATTTATTGCTTTTTTAATCATTTAAAACTAGAAAGTTTGTTTTGAAATACACAGCGATTACTTGAAACACTGGAAAAGGGAAATGAAGAGATTGAACGACAAACAGTTGAAATGTTGAGAAAGGTGATGACTTTAAGAATCAATGAAACTGTTCTGAGTCGGAAGTTTGCAATATTACAAGAAGAAAGAAACATGTTGATAAAGGAAAATGAAAAAGTGAAGAAAGATATGATTGATGTGGAGATTGCAGTCCAAGAAAGGATTGGATTTTTAGAAAGAGGAAAAGTGAGTAATTTTTATTATTTCCATTTGGAAGATCTAGGAAAATCTATGTTGGGTAATTTCCTAGTATTGAAAAATATTTAAGAAAAACTTGAGAAAACCTGTAAAAAGTAAAATAAATAGAAAAGAAGTGAAATTAAAATGTTAGCAAAACTGTAAGTGGTGAAAATCACAAAACAAAAGACCTAATCAATACAAGATGGTATTAAAGGCCAAAAACAAAAAATTAAAGAAATTTTCCAAAATGTACTACCCTCTGCTGCCCTTTCGCTATTCCTTGACATTGGCTTTGCCTATCTAAGTATTGGTCTCGCATGCTCCAGTCTTTTATATCCTACTTAAATGCCCTTGGCAATCACAAATTTGCAAATCCCTCCACCTTGTCAATACGGCCTCTATCCTGACATTGTATATAAGCACCTAACTCAGATAATGTAATCACTTTTTCTCGAAAAACCATTGGTCACGGTTTTTCCTGATGAAGTGCTATGGTTCAATTCCGTGATGGATTACGATTTTCTCATCCCCTTGTGAATTTCTATATAATTTTAATTTCCTTTAATATTAATCATAAAAAAAAAATGGGCGTGATGTTTGAGGTATGAAATCATGAACTCCCATATTACCGTTGTCAGCTTGGCGGCTAATCGGACCTCCCCTAATTCTCCTTTGGTATCTAGCATCTCTCTACGGTCAAGGGGGGGGGTCACTCTCATTTGAGGCTGCCCTTGTTTCGATCTGTTGGGAGATGGAGACATACATTCGGTCCGGGGGTGTTTTCTCCTGGGGCCTCTGAAGTTGCTTTTCTGTTGATCCCGGTTATTCTGGAGAGAATTTGGACTCAATTTTTCTGACACATTTCTTTACAAAGTCGGCTTCTCATGAGTCCAGTTTGAATCACCCACCTCCTACTCCTTTTCTTCAATTAGCCATTGAGTTTCTGAGATTTGGGGGATTTTCTCTGTGACCTTTGAGTCTACTCCTCTCTCGATGTTGGAACGGTCAGGGGTAAGACTATTTAGTTTTTCCTTCTTCACTTGATATTCCTGGTTCATGCTGAGAGACATACTGCTTTATTATGTGATGAGATAGATATACCTTGTACCCTTGTTTGTCTGTTGGCATGCTTTGGGGGATGTATTTTTTCAATTCCACAGACTACACTCATTTAACTTTGGATATGTGGGGTTCCATGTTGGTTCATATGATCACTTTGAACCAATCACATTGTTTTATATTTGTTTGCTCTGTGTTGTTTCTTCTCCCAAAAATTGTCTCCATATCAATTTGCGGATGACTGGGATCTCCTACGGACTTCTACCAAACATTCTACACCAAGACTTTTCCCAGCTCGTTGGGGTTTAACGTCTACCATTGCCTGGGGTGTGCCTCACATGGAGTTTGTATCCACTTTACCATATCTTGTTTTGACCTGTTTTTTACTTGGGCTTAGCTTTTTCTCCTGTTGTTTCGGCCAGACAACTTTTTTATATCATCTCAACAACCATTTGAGTCTTTAGCCTCATGTACCATGTATAACCTCCCCCTTAATGGGTATTTTGTTGCTGCTGACATGCTGATGTCATCAGTTGGAGTTGTTGGCATGTTTATAGGACTCTTTATCTCTCCTCTTAGATCATTTTATACCTTAATAAGTCCTTTCTTTCTAAGCCTCTGGCAACCAGGAAAGGGTATACATTCCTCTCCACAATTCTTTTGCCAAGTATTTCTCAGCAGGGATTTTTCTGCTGTTCCTTGTCATTTTACTGAGTGCAAGAAAAGACTGCTACCAAAATGTATGCTTTTTGACAGTTGTCATTTCTATAAGAAATGTTAAAGGGGATATATTCAATTCAATTGAAATCAATTTATTTGACATGGTACAATAAAATCATGCATGTATATAATACTGACATGAAGATAATATACTAATAATATTTATAAACTAAACAACAACAAATATATACTTTCAAAAGTTTTTCTCTTTACTCGTTGTTTCCATTCATGTTCCTTTCTTCAAAATAATTCTTTTAATCAATTGATGGTGAAATCTCTGTTTTTTTCATGAAATCCCCCACAAAAAAAAATATTTTTGTTCTTAATAATTTTTTTCTTTCATATTGACTGTTCAGCACATAGAAAGACTGACAAATTGATGTTGAAATTGATATGAAATTTTAGGAATTGCAAAAAATTTATAATTTTTCTGTAATGTACTCTTGAAAAGAAGAATTTTAATACATATATAATATAAATATTTTGTGTATCATTAATAGTTCAGGAGATACAGAGTGTGACAGACAGACATTTGAATATTATATATATATATATATAGAGAGAGAGAGAGAGATGTTTTACTCTTTTTTTTGTAACTATATGACAATGTATAGATTATTGAATTTTTTTTCAGGAATTGAACACTTACAGGATAAATGCTCTTCAAAAAGCACTTCAGAAATCAGTACCAACATCAGAACTAGAAGCTGCTAACAGACAGATTGCTGAAATTAGTATAAAGTACCGTGATTTGTTAGAACACATAAATGATTTCAGTTTAAAAACACAAGAAGAAAAAAAAGCAGAGGTGAGTATTTTTTGTTCTTAATAATTTTGACTTGCATATGCTTTTGGTTTAACAGTGTCTCTCTTTAGTAATCAACATGAGTGACACTGCTATAAAATACATTTACTTTTATGGACAAGGATCATCCTGCTTTTGAAACACATACATTGGGCTGATGTAAAAGCTTCTGAATTCATATTGACAAAGTAAATTTTCATATTTCTCATTGTAACTATAAAGAATTGATATTCATCTTCTGTATGATGATAACTTTTATTAGGTAAGTAACTTCCAACCATTTTTGCCTATAAGGCTCAGATATTTTTTTATTTGAATATAAAATGGTGACTTGCACTGTATTAAAAAACTTTATGTGCTATAGAATCAAAAGATAATTATATGTGCACAATCTAATATATATATTTTTTTATGCTTGAGTTGATAATACTGTAAAAGCAAAAAACGTTTTGTAGAATCTTAGCATTATTTTAAGTCTAACACTTGTAAACAGTATCTAAGATGCCACATATACTTCCTGTTTGTCATGACTGTTTGGTACTTTGTCAGGCAACACTCAAACTTGTTCATTATTAGTTGTGAGTGACTTTTCCAACTAATCATATATTTCACATAATGACTCAATAATCACACATCCTTCAAATCTTGATTTATTTATCTAAGTTTAAACACAACACTAAGGATCTGAAATAGGTAAAAAGCAATCTCCTCTTGACTGGGGCTTCAATTTATGATTTTTGGCTCATACAAGTATCTTGAGAATGAAATTCAACCATCTAGATTACCAGGACTTCAAGGTCCAAGCATATGACTCTACCTCATTTAATACATTACTGTTTGATCCCCAGTGGTAATTGCACATAGATTGTTTCAAAAACATCATATCTCTTTGTAACTAAGTTACTGGATTTACATGAAAATTGAAAAAGCAATTCCACCAAAAGCTCCTGTTTTCACTATATATTAGAAAGAATGTTTGTATTGAGATAAAAGCTAGTGATTAGGTAATGAACACAAAACTGAGAAAAGTGCTATAATTACCTGAATATTGTATGGTGTAAATAATATGTATAATTAATAATGTAGAGGAATAGTGCCTTAGAAGCTTTAAATTTAATATGATGTATTGTTGTTTGGATTGTGACCCATACAATAATGATTCCTTTAATATATTTTGCTGCGGCACTAATAAGTTCTCTTAAGCTACAATTATACTTCATAATAAAGAAGAAATAAAACAATGACTTAATGAAATGTAATTTTTTTGTAAGAGAGACATACTTAATTTAGTGATATAAAAGTATACTGAATGAAGTAAGAAAACAAGAATAAATGATTGGAAAAGAATGCAAAGAATTAAAAAAACTTTAAAAATGCCTGTGCAAATCTTCTTATCTCTAGACCAAAGCCAGTATTCATACCAGGTGCATTTATTATTTGTCAGGAAATGTCTGTGTAAACCTTAGCCTTAGGCCAGAGCGAGATATAATGTTGGGTACATATATGCTTTCATTTCTGTGTAATTACAACCTTCCAAACAGGTAATACAGTGTTTAAATCAATAGAAGTGGTCACAGCATTCATAGCTGAGTCTGTTATTATTATAATCTCCAATAAGAAACTCACCTATAGATATGCTGTACCATTATATGGTTTAAATATGAATGTGAAATAGAAGTTTTCTGTTACTTAGAAGGATTTTTGACATGACAAAGTAAAAATATATTTGCATTATGGCTTTTCAAATGAAACAATGGATAGCAACATTGAATTAGTATAAACAGATTTTTAAGAAAATAGTAACTTTGTAAAATAAAGACATCATACAAATATATAAATGGTACAATAACATTTTTTTATATTCATATTTAACTTATGAACTTGAAGTTAACATAATCATGTTGCTACTTTTTAAAAAAATATTTATTATTTGATTTGAAAAATAGCTGAACTGGAAGAAATCTCAACTTTTTTTTTCTGTCAGATTGCCTATTTTTATTTAAATATTTTCATAAGTAAATGAGATATTTTAAAAATGTTTCAACAATTTAAAGGAACTATAAATCTTTCTTTTTAAATCAGTATTAAACAAGTTGAATAGAATTCTTGAAATGCTGTCAAGTAGTTTTATTTCAAAACTGTTTGTCCATAGGTTATGATCAGTACATATCAAGAAATAATAATAATTTTTCTATGAACAACACTCCAATGTATAGAGTTTAAAAATAATTATTCACCAAATGAAATTATAAAGAAACTACAATGTTAATTCAGTTCAGTTTGCAGTTGAAGAAAGATTATTATAAAAGGGTATTACATGATACCTGGTTGATACATTTTTCTCATATTGAAAACTATAAAATGTTCCTGTTCCTCACAAGACATTTATTTTGTTATATTCACAGCTATAAAAGAATAGCATACATGTTCTTCTTTGCACTAAATCTGTTGGATTCAAAAATACACAACTTCTTTGGTACAAATAAAAGTTTTTCTTCTTTATCTTGATTGGTAGTTACATATTTGTATAAAGAAGACTAAGACTCGACATTTTCTTTTATGATTCTATTTATTTGTGTTATATTAACCCATTATTTTAGCACAAAAGGCTCACTTATATTGAGATCTTCATCATACTAATATTAAATCTTCTAAGAACTGCATTTGTACAGTTTTAAGGTGGACAGTGTGTCGTTGTATTATCTATAGCCTATATCAAGTCTTCATCAGACCAAACTGTTTGGAGGATGTATTATAATAATAATGTGTAAATCACTTGGGTAAAGAAGAATCAATGCTATTTTATTTTTTGTTGTTACAATTCAAAAAATATTGATGAGAGTTGGTGGACACAGAAGAGAAAAAAGAAAAGTTTGAACATAAGTGTTTTGAAATATTCAAATCAAGTATCATAACAGTTTTGATAGGTAAATGTGTCATGTTTTTGTTTACAGTATGAGGTGAATAGACTTAAAGGTGAAAACCTTGCCTTAAAACGGGAACTGGAGACAGATAAAGAGAAGTTGCACAGATTAGAGATAATGGTTCAAGAACTGGGAAAAGGAGGTTAGTGTTATTGTGACATATTAAAGATGCATAAACTCCATTATTACATATTAAATTATATTCTTTTTCCTACATTTATAAAATGGATACAATTTAAAGGCGTAGTTGTTTGAATTTTCAAAAACTGCCTTACTAGCAGTGGCTAGCAGGTTAACCCTGTAGCTCAGTTGTTAGAGTGCTCACATATGAAAGGTCCCGGCTCTAATCCTTGTTGAGGACATTAAAAAAACATGCCCCATCAAGCAAACAGCAGCAATCAGCGCAAAAAATCAAATAATAATAGACAAACAATTTAAAGAAATTACAAGAACCATCTCTAAACAACATAGAGCATTGCAGTTTCATTTGGACAGACCAAAGAGTATCAGTAGTAAATAAGTTTACTAGTACAAAGTAACAATATTAGTTTCATGGGAAATTATTAGGGTTATAATTATTATAATTCGAAAAAAAAACATAAGTATAGTAAATTAAGTTTTTATATTGATATAGTTTGATTTATTTTAATGGGAGTAACTAACACTTGTATATTAAGCACCAGATACATGTTTGTACTTCTAAAAAGACTATTGTGTATATAGATTAACTTGACATTAGAAAAACATTATTTTCTCCACTTTTTATTTGTGTGATAAATCACCTTTTAATAATTAAAATATTAGAAAATTGTTGACTCTCTTTCATATATATATATAATTTTTTTTTATGTGTGTTTGTTCATGATGAAAAACTTGATAGCTAAATACCCTTATTCTGCCAAGTTCCTTTTCTACATATAATTTGCATGATAAATGATTAAAGGGCTAAAATACAAGAAAAAATGCAAAATTTTTATAATGCATGTACCTGTATTTTTGTGTAAACTACTTTATAGCTATAAGTTCTTTATTCTGCATGGCTACTACTTGGTAGCTAAAATACCATTTTGGCTACTGAGGTTTCTTTCCGCTTACTTGTCACTTGAATCATTATTACTATACTTTCCTAACCATTGTGCATTAAAGTTATTATGTTAATAAACATACAATAATGAGAAAACATTTTCAAACATTTCATATACAGTATTAGTATTCCCAAACAATATGTCATGTACATCAGTGTCTTTCATTGTTGGTAACCTAACTATAAGTTTATTCTTGAAAACTTAGGTTTTAGTCACTCAAACATTATCATTACATTGCTTACACAGTGCTCAATTCTATAAAACTGCATGAATAAACACAAACTTATTGCATAGGTAATACATTAAAGCATATGGATAGAGTACAAACAATCGACAACAAATGTGCATTGTATATATGATACAGTAATATTGTTATGCTATATTTTAAATGTTTATTTTCAACTCACATTACTTGGTTGTTAAGCTGTGTATCACATGTATTTATTACTTTGTTTCTGAGCAGAATTTAAATAGAACAAAATTAATTTTAGAAATTTATTTTGTTTATGTGATACTTCTGTTTCATTCTCAGCCTTCTATCATAACAAAGTACAGCTTAATAAATGCCAGTAAAATACTGTGCTTTGATAATACATAAATTAAACCTGTTTATCCCCTTCGATATGAGTCACAGGTGAAAGGCCATGTCATCTCGTTTGTTGACTCACATTCAAAATTTTATTGAACTACTATTTCATGAACCTATGTCAATAGGTTTGGTATCAAACTGTAGATTAT